GAAAAACATCTAAGGCCGGCTACATTTTGCAAAACTCTACATCATATCTGACAAATTCATGCGAAGAAATGGGTTATGTCTGATGAACTTTTGGGCCATTGAACTTTTGGGCCATTAATTCCTAAAAGAATTTTGGTGCAAAAATAATACTGTGCATCACTGAAAGTACATCATAGTAACAGTGAAGCATGATGGTGGCTTCAGCTACAACTGGGGCTTTAGTCAAGATGGAGGAAATTCTGAACAGTTCCAAGCATCAGTCAATTTTGGCATAAAATCTTCAGACCTCTGCTAAAATATTGAATCTTCAAATCAACAAAATATTGGCTTCACTAGAAGAAGACTAAAGTTTGGAATAGCCCAATCAGAGCCCAGGCCTGAATCCAATTGAAAAATCTGTGGGATGACCTGAAAAGATTGCAATTTGACAGATTTGGGGCACTTTTGCAAGGACGAGTAGACAAAGATTCCCAAGGCAAGATGTGTGTCATGCTGATAGGCTGCTACTTAATAATAATAATAATAATAATAAAGTTGGAAGGGACCTTGAAAGTCATCTAGTCCAACCCCCTGCTCAGGCAGGAAACCCTATACCATTTCGGACAAATGGCTGTCCAGTCTCTTCTTAAAAACTTCCAGTGTTGGAGCATTCACCGCTTCTGGAGGCAGGTTGTTCCACTGGTTAATTGTTCTCACTGTCAGGAAGTTTCTCCTTAGTTCTATATTGCTTCTCTCCTTGATTAGTTTCCACCCCTTGCTTCTTGTCCTGCCTCCAGGCGCTTTGGAAAATAGCTTGACTCCCTCTTCTTTATGGCAGCCCCTGAGATATTGGAACACTATCATGTACCCCAAAAGACTGAATGCTGTCATAAAATCAGAAGGTCCTTCAACAAAGTATTAGTTTAAGGGTGTGCATCTTTATGCAACCATGTTATTGTAAGTTTTTTACTGTTATTTTTCCCCCTAAAAGATTTCAGTTTCTTTTTAAATTGAATTGTACAGCTTATATGTTATATTTAAGGTGAAAAAATTCTGAAGTGATTCTAATTTTTTTATATTTCAAAAACCTGGCATTTTAACAGGATAGTGTCTATATCCATTGTAAGTTGGGACTTTCTCCTTTACCCATTAGCTTCTGAATGTGTTTTTTTTTTTTTTTTTTTTTTAAAGACCAATGAATTATCCTAAACTCAGTACTAAAAACCTTCTTGGAAATGTAGCCAGGACTTACTTTATGGCAACTATTTCCTAATTAGAAATGCCACAACATTTAAAATATTGAGAAAATTAACCTATGCAGAAAACAAACTCTTGGGCCATATCTACTGGAGAGAAAATGCTCACCTAGAGATACAAATACTACAGTAATTTTGCACAAACCTGGAATCCATCTCATCTGGTCTATTTTCAGGAACAAAGTTTTATTCTGGTTTGTATTTGTAAAACCACCAGTTATTTGGGGAACTCTCATTTCAAAATTGACTTGTTTTCCTGAATTGAAACAGGGGCTTTCCCCAAATACTACCTGCCCTCCCTTCCCTTGAGAAAAAGGATACATATTTAGCGGTGCATGGAACAATGGGTGTCAAGCGAGCATGAGGGGAAGGGGCCAGTGGCACGCAATTCAATCCCTATTCTCATTAAACAATGTCTCACCACTCCTCACCTTTGTGAAGCACTGCATTGGCTGGTTTATTCCCAGCCATAGATTCCTTGGATAGATGCTGATGGCTCTCAGCTAGGCACTCCACTTCAGCAAAACGGGTATTAAGAGCCATAGAGGGATGAGATGGATCTTCTGACATGTTTAGATATGCAGCTCTCCGTAGTTGCTCTTCAATCACTAGGGCTTGTTCCAGCAGCTGTAAAAAGCAATTTTGGTCCTCAAGTTTTTAGTACAGGATCCATATTGCTTATAATTCCTATATGCTACATTCAGTTTATAATGTAAGATCTATGTACTGTTCTAAGAGAATACTCAAAATTATCTAACAAAATATCACGAAATTTTAACTGTAAGGCCATTTGGCACAAATGAACAGCTAATTCTTTGTTCTGCTGCCCCAAAGTGACCCAATCAGAATCTTAAACCTAATCACTAAAATAAAAGTAATAAATACATATATACAACTCAACTATGAATATAAAATATTGCAAAAGAATCATTCCTATGACTACTTGACAGAATATTTTAAGAGTATTGTTTAAAAATCACAAAGTTCTTTATGAGCTGAATTAATGTGCTATTAGGCTTTACCATATGGGCAACAACATTCTCATACCCGAGACATTCTTTTTATATTAAAAAAAACTCCATGTAAAATCAGAGAAATTTCCCTCAACTTTTATATGGCAACTTTTAAGAGGCAAAAAGGATGCCTTAAATCAAGTGTGGAGGCATTCATTTTGCCTTTAAAGCCCATCCTTACCCTTCAAACACAAAAGGAAATGATGCTTTCAACTCATTCACCCATCTGTCCTGTTCTTAATTGCCCCCCCCAAAAAAAATCTAAAAAAAGAAAAGAAAAAGCTAACTTGTTTTTGAGGAAAAATCTAACCTGCTCATTTGCCAGATTTACAAAAAAAAACTTGTTTCCTAAGAAGAAATGCTCACCTTAAACCTCCTGGCCAAGAATTTGTTCTTTATTTCTAGAAAGTTACCCCTGTTCATTTCACCCTTGAAAGGCTCATTGAGGATGGCGTAACGGGAATCGTTCTGGATATCTTGCCATCGAGCATAACCATGACTGTAATGGGAGAAGCTCAGGAAAAAAATAACCTGGAAAATGTGGTAAATCAGCGACAATTACAGTTTATTTGAATTAGTGAATAGTGAGATTCAAATTCAACCCCTAGCCCAGGGTAGGGGTAGGCAACCTCGGCTCTTTTATGACTCATGGACTTCAACTCCCAGAATTCCTGAGTCAGCTCAGGAATTCTGGGAGCTGAAGTCCATGAGTCATAAAAGAGCCGAGGTTGCCTACCCCTGGGCTAGGGAATATAGTAGGATGCCAACTGATTCACAGGGAAGACTTTCAGGTAAATCTCTTTCTTTGGATATTCTTAGTTAGGTTTCCTCATCTTATTACTTCATCTGCCAAGCCACCACTGCTGACAAATTTGGTAGAGTAGACTCTCCCTGCAAATGGAGATCTATTTGATCCCAATAAGTAATAGGATATGCTGGGCCACAGGGCAGAGTAAAGCTCCAAAAATTGATGAGAAAAGCAGTAAATGTACAATGAAGTAAAGCAGGAAATCTGAAAACCCACCAGAAGCGAACAAACATTCCTATTATTAAAGCATCTAAATATAATACAAATGTGTTGATTGCAGTGTGCAGAATCTCATTCTTGTTAGAGATATGAATGCAAATACCAGATTTGTTTTAAACCCAAACACCATACTGTTTTTCCTTAACTAAGTCAAATTCTCAATCGAATCTATCATGGCTTCTAGAAGAAGGATACTTTATAATTCCTGCCAAGAGCCAGTAGTCATGGCGCCGGTGCCAGATCTCGTATGTCTTCTTGGTAACAGTAGCTGCTCGCTCTTCATTTTGCCACAAGGAATGCAACTCTGCAAGGAAGTAAAAAGACAAAGTGTTTACAATTGAGTAGAAAAAAGCTCCAGGAAAACATCTATTCTCATTGTCAGTTAGTACCAGTGAAACCGCCATCTGCAATGTTGAACATGAACCGTTGTTTTATGGCTTTCTTGTGCCGATCGTCAGCAGGATCTTTAGGTGTTTCCCCATTTTGCAGCATCACTATATCTTTCTTCTCATCTTCCTTTTTCTCTTCTGAAAAGAGAAAAGATAATTAGACCATAATTACCAACGACTCCATCTTAATATTCCAAACATACCCTAGTCTCTGCCTAGAAAACTTATTTTATTGGGTGGATTAAATGTACAATAAATAGCACTCTTGCCTTTCTCATCAAGATTAATTGTGGGAGGTTCAGCAGGTGGCTCCGCAGGTGTCTTTTCTTCCACTTTCTCTGCATCAGCTATAGAGGAAAACATCTGTATAAATGGATGCCTGGGGTGCTTCTCACAAGACTGTAGTCTCAATCCAGGTTATCCCCGTTAGCCTTAAGAGCTTCTATTTACACCAAGAACTCCCATGCTTTACAATTTCATTCATCTGTGGAATATGACACATACCTAGGAACTACAGCCATACCTTTACTTTCTGTTTCCATTGGCTCCTCTTTCACTTCCATGTCATCTGGTTTCTTCTCTTCAGCTTCTACTGTATTTACAGGAGATTTTACCTCTTGTGAGTTGGTCTCTGTTGAAGGCGGAGCCTGCTATATGGGAGAAAAGTAAGCAGACTATTTAGTCAATAAGATTGTAAGAAAGTAAAACCAGTCCCATTAACAAATTTCACAGCATGTCTAGTCACAGCAGTTCTCTTTCAAAGTTTAAATTATCAATTGTATACAATAAAGAACACCTGTGGATTTTGCTATTCTAATAGGGTTTAGTGAAGCTTTGGATTCAAAGCCAAAAATTACTTCTGAGCATGCAGGGACACTTACAGCAGTTATCTTCCTAAATCAAACAAGGCCCTGCTATGGCTGCAAAGGATACCTGTGCAATCCTAGGTAAAGATGCAGTTTTTCATCTTCAGAGTGGGAGAGATTATGCCCAAATTGAGCAAGTACTTAAAAGAATTTTTAATAGCAATAGAATATTAGGAGAAAAAAATATTTTTTATGATACTAAATAAACCTCTGGCAGGCACTCACCTCAACTGGAACTTCATTTTCAACCGAAGCAGCAACTGCAGGACTGATCTCCTTCTCTGATTCTGTGGGCTCCACTTGATCCTTGGTAGTGGTGGTTCCATCTTCTACCTTCACTCCTTCCTCTATATTAATCGGCACAAGTAAGGAAACTTTTCAGGGGGCTTTCTTCTCTCTCATAAGAGACTGATGTTCTATAGTCACCCAACCTCTGAAGTTACTTTATTCTGATATAAATAGTCTATCTGGATGTTCTCTTGTGCCTTTGAGGGCGGCTCAACACTTGGAAGAAGCCCTCCTAATATAAGAGTGCTTTATTTACGTCCAGCCCCAAGCTCTCTACCACAGTTCTGGCAGGAGGATTAGAAATGGAAAGCCGGACTGCTCTTTCTCGAAGGCATTAACTCAAGGCTCTCACCTAGAGAAGGAACAGGTGCAGGAGTATTAGGCTGAGTATCTCCTGGTGTAGAAGGAGTTGGGGTTTTGGGGGAAGGCGAACTTGGTTGCAAAAGCTTTTTGTTCTCCTCTATCTCTGCAAGTTCTGGCATACTCCAGCGTCCATTCACATGTTCAAATTCTTGTACCTTGGGTGGAAAAAATAAGGAAATATATTACTCTTTTCAAAATCAAAACAAATGAAGAATGTCAGCATCTAAGCTCCAACTCCAGTGAGTAAACAGAGGCAAAAAGATCCACTAATCAGTGCATATCACATATGTATGAAGGATTAGAAGCCCTTTTAAAATATTTTCTTGTATCTGTAGAATAGATGGAAACTGTATTTTGGAGTCACCTTCTTGCGTATGAGAGACATGACCCCTATTCGCGTGAGAACGTGTTGTCGGGACAAGCCCTCACGTGGGACCCCATCGGCAAATGTTTCTGCACCATCTGCTCCTGGTTCACACAAGTGACGCATGAAGAGAGAGACATAGGCCCTGCCAAACACAAAGGGGAGAAACCTTTATACTAATAATAAATCACTCTGCAATAGCCCCACTTTACATCAGGATTATTCACCTGGAACAGCTAAAAGGAATTAACATGGAAGAAGTTGAGCAGCAGGCACCATTATTCTACCTACATCAACTTGGCTTTTATGTATACTCATTAGAAAATACTTGCCAAGTTCTAATACTGCTCTTCCTTATCTCCACAGAAGCACAGTTGGCCTTCCTTGGGTTTCCTTTCTCCTGAGCTTTTAAAAGAGATTTCTCTATTCTTGCACAAACTCACTTGAACTCCTTTTCTGATTTGCCACGGAGATCTCGGACCAGCCACTGGGTAGTAAAGGCATCCTGAGGCGGCATCCCGTAGCGCATGATGGCATTAAGGAAGGCCTTCCGCTGTCGAGCGTTAAAGCCCAATACCTGTTACAGGAAATAGATTCAGGGAAAAAGGTTTAGATGTAATGGTAACATGTTTGTATGTTCAAGCATCCCATTTAGGATTGTATTAGTATTCTTAGAACACATTAGTACCATCCTTTTTCACAACACTCTCATAATTATATACATTACCTCTATGTTTCCTCCCACCCGGGCAAGGAGTGGGGGTAGTGGCTTGTCCTTGTCATTCCTTAGGCCTTTGCGACTAGGCCGTCGTGCAGCTGACCAAACGAAAGGATAGTTCAGTTAACAGCATAATTTAAGCCACAGGACCAGAGTATGATATATTTTCATTGAACATAGAAAGCATATGAAGAATATATCTCTTATTTAATACTTTAATTCAATTTATACTCTGCTTTTCTTCCAAGGGAGGGACTGTGCAGCATATTCCTCTGCACCTCTTTTTTAATCTTCACCCTCAGATATGTTAGGCCAAAGAATAGCAAATGGACCCAATGAGCTTCAGGACTGAGAAACTGAATATTCCTAATCTTCCCAAACTTCTATATTGTTGCTGGGATTTTAGCAATTATACTGTTTTCTCAAATTGAAAGAAAGCAGTGCTTGAATCTGCAACAAAATTTACCTTCCGACCTCTCATCAAAATCTTCATCACCTTCCTCGGAGGCAACAGAATAGTCGGACTGATTATCTGATTGGTCATCCTGCCAGTCTGGGGAAAACAAAAAGGCTGTGAAAATTCTCTGAAAAAGATTACCTTCAAACCATAATATTCACTCTCACTTGTTCATCACACACCTCTATCCTCTTGTGAGCCATCGTTATAGTTGACTTGTTTACGAATGCGCTTCCCCTTGCCTAGATTCCTAGCCAAGTCTTCCTGCTGCTGCTCATAATGATGGCGAAGCAGTTTTTCCCAATAGTCTGGATCCACCGATTCTTCTTGCTTGATAATCTCGCGTTCAACCTCTTCTTCCTCCTACCACAACATCAGAAGGTAACAGTAGCTCAGTATTATCCATGTTTGTAAGAGAAGCAAGTCTCCCTGCTTTCAGTGTTTCCTAATAAAGAGGTCTTTAATTGCCAACTTAACGTGAACGTTTTATCAAGAACCTTTTTGGAAAAAAAAAACATCTAGCAAGAGCCAATCAACTCACTTACCCCCATTTCTTCTTCACGCACCACATATTGAGCTACTTTAAAGGAACTCAGGTACTCATTCATGCCCTGAATTTCTGCATCCTCTATCTCATCCTGGTTCCTATCCAGAAGTCGTTCAATTGCCTTATCATCATAATGGATGACACTGCTGTCCTCGCCTTCCTTATTATCCCCTGCAAGAGGAGCCGTTTTAGTAGACAAGAAAGGACTAAATGTGAAAGTAAATAAAGGAAAGTAAACCACTCACTTTGTGTTACACTGCACAGATTCTTACCACCCTCCGTAGCTTCATCTTTGAAAAGCTCTTCAGTACCAAACTTAAGGATGTCATCCAGTTCTTGTTTGGACATAGAACCAGTCTTGGAGCCCAATCCTGGTCTTACTACAAGATGTGTTAGCATCATTTTCTTTTTGGCCACTTGTGTGATTCGCTCTTCTACAGAGGCTCGTGTAACAAAGCGATAAATCATCACTTTCTTGTTTTGCCCAATTCGGTGAGCACGACTAAAAGCCTGACAGGAAAAAAAGGAAGATGAAAAAAGGCTTTCAGATATTCATTAAATCAGTCTGTAGTCTCACAAACCATGTTTTCACCCATTTCATCCAGCATTCTCCCTAAATGCATTGTTTTCCAAGATTCAATCTTGGAAATTTTTATTGCTCAAATTTACCTGGATGTCATTGTGTGGATTCCAGTCAGAGTCATAGATTATTACTGTGTCTGCAGTGGCAAGGTTAATACCAAGGCCTCCAGCTCTAGTGGAAAGTAAAAAACAAAACTGCGGGGCACCAGGAGCTAGAGAAAAGAAATGAGAGGCCACCAGTTGTCAAGAATTTGGAATATCCATTTCACCTTCAAAGCTTGTCTAACCAGCCAGATCAATTTTAGAGATATTAGCCAGAGGAGGGGAGGAAGATGCAAGGGAAAGTCACAGCTCCTGCCAAGGTAAGTAAATTTGTTGGGTGTACCCATCATATTCATACCATTGAAGCGATCAATAGCTTCCTGACGCATATTTCCTGTAATCCCACCATCAATTCTCTCATATTTATACCCTTCATGTTCCAGAAAATCTTCCAATAGATCCAACATCTTAGTCATCTATAAAGTACAAAGAAATAAATGGAATCAGTAGAAAACATGTTGCTAATCCATAATCAAATAAACAGCTTCTGTGACACATAGCTACTCCTAATCAGAGGAAAATACTGTTCCTTTCAGTTACCTGGGAGAATATCAGCACTCTGTGGCCCCCTTCCTTGAGATTCTTCAACATTTTCTGAAGCAGAAGTAGCTTCCCAGAAGCTCGGATTAGGGCACTACCATCATACATCCCATTAGGCATCTTTGGTGCTTCCTGTGTGTGAGAGAGGGCGACAAAGTAAGAAAGAGAGAGAGAGAGATTAAAAGCTCGAGTTTCTTGGTTTTGGTCAGGTTTGTTACAAATATCTTACAATTTAATTTAGTACATATTATTTCAATGCCATTTCTTTATTGCTTATCTCGCTCAAATAATCCTTATTACTTTAGGGTCTTCACCACTTTCACAGCTGCCATACTCATGTATTTCTTACCTGAAGAAAGACTTTCAATTGTTGTACCCAAGAGCAAGCGTATCAATTTAAAAATGTGAAATATTGAGCCAATTCATACAGTATTACAAAATCTTAGCAGTCCATTTGGAGAGAAACGTTTTATTAAATCCAAATCAACATAACTGAAAAACATTGGTTAGTTATTAAACAAGCCTATTTAAATTTAAAGTGCTTGTCAACACAGTTTTTCTCCAGTACCCGAAAAAAATGATTGATAATGGTACCGGCAATCAAGCAGCTCAATATCCAAACAATCAAATAAAAAAATAATGGAAGGATATGGGTTTTCAATCAAGATCCTGAATGAATCAGAACATACCATAGCAGCCACAGGGAAGAGATATGGATGGTTGCAGCATTTCTTCAAATCCATAACAACATTGAGCAGAGAAACCTGGTTGCCACCACCCCGTGCATTCAGTGCCTCAAAATTTCTTGTTAGGATATATTTGTAGTACTTCCTGTGAAAATGTTAATGTTCACATTATTGGTTTCCGTTTTTCACATGTCTTGCCTTAAAATCAAGCACCTACCTTAGGAGTACCTTTAAAAATAAATTTACCTTTACCTCCCATTCACCCATTAAATGTAGTAAGAGGAAATAGATTGGCAGTAGGAAACTGGACAAAAAAAAGAGGATAATTCTAAATCAACATCCTAAAACAAAGCAGGTGGATGCTTATTAGGATACTTAACCATTATTATTTAAGTATAAAAATAGAGAAGCCAACTATTCTCTGACACTCACTTTTGCATAGGGCTTAGTTCCACTCTCACAATAAGTTCTGTCTTTGAAGGCATGTTCTTGAATACATCAGCTTTCAGACGTCTTAGCATGTGTGGTCCTAACATATCATGAAGCTTTTTAATCTGATCCTCCTTGGCAATGTCTGCAAATTCTTCCAGGAAGCCATCCAAATTACTATAAAGGAATTCAAACAGAAACATGGAAATTCAGAGAAACCTGGAAATAAGAAGAAAGCCAGGAACCTCAAGTAGAGAGGAAAATAAGCCACCTAGAGTCGCCTTGGTGAGATGAGCGACGTAGATGTTTACAAACAAACAAATAAATAAATAATGTACTCCTAGGTGCACTGTAGGACTTACTGAAATCTTTCTGGTGTCAAGAAGTTAAGGAGGTGGAACAGTTCCTCCAGATTATTCTGAAGAGGGGTTCCTGTGAGCAGCAGTTTGTGCTGAAGAGAATAGCCATTCAGGACCCGGAAAAACTGAAAGGTGCATAAAGAAATAAAACAGCTATTAAGCACGATTTCA